TGGCAGTCTGTACAATTGTGAGTAAATTACCACATTTTTGTGAACAGGTTGTTTTGTAGCAATGATTCTTCTCTTTCTAGTGGTTCAGGGTAGACCCAGTCAGTGAAGCAGCTCTACACTAGCAAACATCCTTGAAACATTTTTCTTCCTGTTTGTTACAGTGGTAGTGACTTCCTTTGTCCTGTACTATTTAATAGTGAATGTGATATAATAAAAGTATCTCTGGTTGTGATATTTCACTGTTTCATAAAGGCTTTTATATTGTGTGCTTATACAGAAGATACAGACCTTAAAACCAGATACATACCGACAATCATGTTTATTCTAGTTTTTTTAGTCCAGAGCATCTCATTAAATAAGTAATACCCGGGTAAGCTTTTTCAGTGTGTTTTGATGGAGACACTGTTAATGAGGTATCTAGTGCAATATACCGTGACAGTCACAGTGACCTTATCAAATCACTGTACATAACTGTAATTTGTCATACACTGAGGCAAGAACCACATAAAACAGTCTTCAGCTGTGATATCTTATGTGACGAGATATAAACTCTTATGCTGTTTGATTCAGAAGGCAACCTTTCTCCCTACTCCCAAACCTTTCCTCATGTGTCCACATTGCCTCCTAACTACTCAAAACCAGCTCTGATTGAGATCGTGTTTTCCATATATCTTCTGGTATTTGAATGGGTCCCTTACAAGATTCTTGTACCAGTTCAGTGTAATGGATTGTGCCGCTTTTCTCATATGCAGAAAAGGATGGACAAACTTCCTGCACGTTACCCTTTAGGAGGCTCTAATAGCTTCTGTTTTGAGCCTGGCTGTAGCTGAGTTGTCAGTCTTTAAACAGTAACAATGTACATCGCCTAATAAAGTTGTGGATTTTAGCAGCTATTTTTTCCTGGAGGTTTTCTTTACAGCTGAAGCTGTTGCTACTGTTGTTAATGCTCAGTTAGGACAGAGTGGTTGGCATACTTTGAATGGTAGAGCTTAATCCTGAGGATTGGGTTGACAGAAATTTTGGGCAGTTGGACAAGGGAAGTGTATATTATCATGCCTGAGACAGACTAACCCTGTGCATTGATGTAGGCTGGGACCTCACTGACCTGAGCTGCAGCTCTGCTGAAGAGGAGGCAGGGGTTACAGCAGACACAAAGCTGAATGGGAGCCAGCCCTGCACACTGGTTTTAAATAAAGCAAACCACATAGTGGACTATATTAGGAGGAGTGTGGCCAGCAGACTGGGGGAAGTAATTGTTTGCTTCTACTTGGAGCTAGTGAAGCTGCACCTGCAAGTATGTGTGTAGTCTTGGTCCCCCCATTGTAAAATGGACATCGTGGAAGTGAAGGGAGGGCAGCAGAAGGCTACCAAGGTAATTACAGAAATGACAAAGCTGAAGTCTTCTTAATAGTATCAGTACTAACAAGGGATTATGGCCACCAAAATAACCCAAGGCATTTTTGATAGAAGGCAGTGCAGCATTGGAACAGGTTATCCAGAGAACTTGGAGAACCTGTTGACAGAGGTTTTCAAGACTCTGCTAGACAAGACACGGTTGCCTGATCTGATGTTGCTGTTTAATCCCCTGCTCAGTGGCACTAAGTGATCCCAGGATTTCCTCCAGAAGCATGTCTATAACCCTCCTGGCTTTGAGTCCAGCTCTCTTGGGGTGATAGCCAGGAAGCTCTGCCTCTTGTGCCATTGGCTGTTCCCCATGCTCAATAGGCCACCACAGAGCAGAGACTTGCCTGGTTCTAAAACTGGGACCAAGCATTGCATGCCTTAAAGATGAGCATCTGAAAGATTGATTCAGAGAGGTTACCTTGTCTACATCTATACTCTGCTGTTTAATCTAGGTTTAACCTAATGAGGCTGCTGACCTGCAGCTATTACATCCACAGTCAGATAGTGATCTCATCTGGAATGTATAAGGTTCCAGATGTGCTGAAAGAAAAAATTCCATTTGCAACTCATTACTTCTCAGCTGAGACCAGTGTCCAAGTGGATTCAGAGTCCTCTTCTCAATCCGCCTGAATTGTTTGACTCTGACCACACACTGGAAACCATGATGTGAGGTCAGTTCTGGCAGTCAAGCACTGTTCTTCATGGAGCAAATAGGCACTCATACAGGCTGAGTGTCATCCCAGTGGAGAGGCAGAGGACACTAAGCCTGCCCCATCCTTGCGGCTGTATGAGCTGGAATCCGGCTGTATGAGCTCATCTTTGCTGTGCTTTATTTGACCATGACATTAAGCTAATTTGTTTGATTTCTCACCCTGGAGGATCAGAGCACTGTGACAGCAAAGGTGTCCTACAGCTTGCACCAGGCTCAGTTGTCACATGAGGCTGCACCTGAGCTAAAGTGAGGAAAAGCAAAGATACTGTTAAAGTCTGTTGTCAGCAAACAGCGCTGATTTACAGCTAAGATAGAACAACAGCAACAATTCTCACCCTCAGTTGAGTTTTTCAGATATAGACAGCAACTTCAACTGTAGCCTGTTGGAGCCCAAGCGCTCCTTCTTCCCTTCATAAAAGAGAAGTAAATAACAGAGCAGAGGTAAGAGTCCTGTACAGCTGGACTCTTAGCTGCATTGTCAAACATGGTTTAACACAGCAAGCTGTTTTTTCCTCTGGGGATATGACTCTGGCTGTCAGGCACTATACACAGATTTAGAAGTATTATGGTATAAGCTTGGAGTCTTACAAGCCAAAAATACTGTGTAAGCTTAAGGCATGGGTACTTAAATATTTTATATAAAGCAGAACAATTCTAATAGGGAAGATTTGAAGTTTGCTCATTCCCCAGTTGTCTCATGACAGAAAGGAGATGCAGTCACAAACAACCTCGGGCTGAGGATGGTCTGAGTGCAGATCTCCTATTTGGTTGAATGCTTTGAACACTGGGAGTGAAACAGGGAATAAAGTTATATCTTCTGAAGCTTTATGGAGCTACCCTTTCATTTCCTTGTCTTTTCCAACGTGCTCAGAAATGAAACATATCATTTAAGGTCAAATGAAGTATTTTGTTTTATACAGAAGGAGTTGTTGACTTTTGACATGCAAAAAATAAAGGGTTTGTGTTTTGGCTTAATGCAAGCCAATATTTGTTTCCAGTTTTTTAGTTTGGCAATTCATTTTCTTCTAACTAGAAGGGCATGCTAAGAAAGGAACAGAAATTATAGAGAGGGAAAGGGTAGCCTATGTTAACAGAAGTTGACTGAACTTGACTTGTAGAACTGTATTCTGCATCTGCTTCCATCATGGAGTTTCTCAGCCAGACACTCTGGGCATTTTTTGCATAAATGTATGCTCCTAAGTTTTTGAAAGTCTGGTTTGAGAGCTTGGGTTCTAATTCATAGAGAGTACATATAATAGAATATATAATAGAATACAATGTTTAATTTATAATATAAAATTATGTTACATATCTAATGTAATAGATATAATTTATAGTGATTGGCATGCAGACCTAAAACTATCACTTTGATAGTATTTTATGTTATTATGATACATAATAATTTATAAAATACTACACCTTTAAAGCAAAACAAAAACTTGGAGAAAATAATTAAAATTCTTGAATTGGACGCTCAAAATTAGTGATTTAAAAAGAAAATTATTGTCTTTCAGTTCTTCAGTAGAGAAGGTAGATAGGAATGCCCCTTTATTCCTCTTTTTTAAAATGAAAAAAAAGTAAGTATTTGTGAAGCATGTGTATGCTATGATGATGTGAGCTTTACAAAAGCCTGTCAGGAAATTATTAATTATGCTTTCAGAGCAAGGTTTGAATAGTATTCAGTAGATCAGACATATGTCAAGCAACAGGGAGAAAACAAAGTGGTCATTTCGTCAGCCCTACTCAACTAGTGCCCTGAATGAGGTAGGGGTCCTTTGATGATGAAATTACAGATTTAGCAAAATGGATAGACAAAACAGGCCTGATCAAGTAATGCTTAGTTTTGGTATTTCTTAACTGTCCAAGGTAACTTGAGTCTACATCTCCTTCAAGAGCTCCTCCATCAAACTAAGGAGAGAAAACCTTTCTGATCTGGGCTGCTGACAGTCCTTAGAAATTACAAATTTGGGCACCTAGCTCCTATATGAAGAAAATTGAAGTATGTATATAAAATAGAACATGAGAATCAGAAGTGATTGGGTGGTGTCCAGCCACTACATCAAAAGGTCTTAGGGTATGTTAGTGGAGACATCATTGATGGATATGGACTCAGGCAATAAAATTATTTGACAGTCCACTAGTCTCCTTTTGTACTGGAACTGTTATCTGAAAAGCAACTAGTAGCATGTAGTCTCTTATAGTTTTCACTCTGAGTGGAAAAGAGAACAAACTGGTAAAGAATATCACTGTTATTTCAGATTTAATGGTAAAACCAAAATAGGAATCTGTCTTAAAAGTAACATTATGAATGTTAGGATTAACTGAATCGACACAGTTGTGATCAGATTCCACACAAAGATTTCAGTATCTGACAGTTTCATTAGAAGATTCCATTTGGATGACTCTACACAGTGCCAAAAAAAAAAAAAAAAAGTTACGATTATTTTTCTTCTCACTGAATAACAGGAACTTGCTAACCTAAAGCAAGATGAAAATTAATAAAATGGAAGCATAGGCATCAGACTGCATAATGGTCTCTTGTTTCTAAGCAAATGCAAGCCACTTCAATTATATTGAATTACTTAGATATTTTATCCATCTCACATTTGAACTCTTAGACCTCTATTCACATTTGTTTACATGAACTGTGTTAGCATTTAAAAAAATGCATCAGTGATTTAATGGAATTAGTTATGTGTTGTTTCCAAAAAGCAAATGATAATGATATATACTCTATAGAGAGCATTGGTCAAGTAGGAGGAGCTCACATGACAGACTTACACATGGTTAGAAAGGACAAGAAGCAAATTGATGGAAGTTTCATGGCACATTTGAAAACACGCTCTTGCATGATCTAAATGTGTTTGTCTTTAATTTCTTACAGGCTGTTTCCAGCTATGTAATGTTTTTCGGTCCCATGAGATGGAAATTGAGCAGTGCTTGCTGGAGTCCCTCCCTCTGGGCCAGCGGCAGCGGCTGGTGAAGCGGATGCGCTGTGACCAAATAAAGGCATATTATGAACGAGAAAAAGCTTTCCAGAAACAGGAGGGCTATGTGAAAAAACTGAAACATGGAAAGAATCATCGAGTTCGTTTTAATCTTGCTGATATGATACAGGATGCAATCATACGTCATGATGATAAAGAAGGTACTTAGTAACGTTGAACTACATTTTTCTTTTTGTACAGCTAAAAGTTTAAGAGGAAAAGCTTCTCTGTTCCGCTTACCTATCTTTAGGTAAAATACAATTTTACATGATAGTAAAGTGATGGTTATAATAGGATATACAGGCATGTATTGCATGCAACATATTATAGCTTGGTACTGAAAGGAATAAAGTGTGGAGAATAGACCTTCAGAAACCTAATGTGTTTATTCTGAGGTTAATATATATATATATATATATATATAAACTAATGTATTTCAAAACCTGTAAGGACTATGATCATCATTACCTGTGGTCTCTTATATACCTACATAAGCCATAGAATTTAACACGTTACTTTAAAAATTAGCTTTTCCATTTTAGCCAAAATCTGGAATAATGAATGCTTCTGTTAGTGACACTGGCCTGGCTAGAGCAATGAGGTAGTGTTAACCCATAGTCACACCAGATAGTGAGTCATCTTTCTCGTTGTGAAATTATGTTTATATCCTTTTGAAATATGTAATCACATTTTAGGGTCTCTCTTTTTAGTTTCCTGGCATTGTTTGAATTTCTGGTGCAGCCGATAGTAATCTGAGGAATTTGATAATGTGCTTTTCAAAAGGGAACCGAACCTTGCAGGAAGGATCTCTTAAGTTTTGGAAGTCCCCAGAAATCCCCATACCATTGTATGGGAGGGATATAAGAAAAGAATGGATGCAATGTTTTTAGCAACCCCTTTGCAAACAGATTTTATGGCAGCTTTTTGTAATCACATTAGCACAAAACTACCCAAATAAGGGAGGCTCTGAAATAGAGTCACATCATGCAAACAAATTAGCATGTTTCTCCTAATTTTTATAAGTTTGATTACATATGGGCTTTTTACTCACTCCTGCATGTTTGTTTTAATGGGCATTTGCTCTAACTATCATTGTTATATGGTATATCTCTGAGGTATAGTCCTACACATTTAGATCTATATGATATGGTATATCTCCGAGGTATAGTCCTACACATTTAGATCTATATGGGAAATGAATCAGACCTCTTCAAGGGAGTGCCCAGGGCTTCATTTATGACTGTTACAAATAAAGTTCACAACTTTTCATTCCATCCTTTTAGTGTGTAAAAGTACAGAGATTATGTGAAGATCTTCCTTCATGTTCCCATGGCTCCCAACTTTCTTTAAAACCCAAGCAGAATACTAGATATGACTTTCAGCATTCTGTAAAAGTCAGATACTTGAGGCTATTTTTGACATTTAGGCTGAAGAAATGTAGCTTGCTTATTTGAGTGGTGATGGGGCATCAGCAGTCCTTTGTGTTGCCCATACATGGCCTTGAGCTGCACCTGTATCGGAACATAAAGTTCAGTAACAGCTGAGACTGAATAACATAAAGGGAAGATACCTCAGGCAGAGGAAAGTAAGGTGTGGGAAAAACAAGGAAGGTGTCCTGAACTTGAAACAGATAAAATAGGTCCCCAGAAGCAAGGAGCTCAAATAGCCCACAGATTATCCCAGTAGGGCTAACAACATTATCCTGAATTTGATGCCTGTGGTCCTTTCCCAGAACTATGAAAAAGTGTGATTGCTGTCTTTAAGCAGTTTGAGGACCTGAAAGTGCCTGTCTGTGACTTTAGCAAAATGTACTCAGAGACTGTTTGATTTGAGGTGAATAATGCTATACCAAGAACTGTTATCCTGTGAGCCAATGAAAACAAAATTTTAAAAAAAAATAAATTGAAACTCATAGACAGAAAAGCTACTCTCCTACTATTGTTGCTGAGTGGAACGTATAACCATGTTTCTTTAGTGAATATACATTAGGATTTCAGTTCACATTAGACATATGCTTTTGTAGTAAATATTATATCCATTTACTATGTTTGGTCTTGATTTGTGGAGCATGAAAACTAGATTTCTTTCAGACAAAACTGAACTGGAAGATGATTGAACAAGCTCGTTATGAGTGAACATGTGCTGCAGCAGCAAAGCAAGCCACCAGAATGCTGGGTTGCATCAGCATGGGCATCACTAGCAGAGATAAAGAATTCATTACTCTACTCCACTCAGTGCTTGTCAGGCCGCACCTGGAATACTGTGTTCAGCTTTGGTCCCTGCTATACAAAAAAGATGTGGACAAGCTGGAGAGGGCCTAGAGGAGGGCCACAGAAATGATCAAAGGACTGGGAAGCCTGCCATGTGAGGAAAGGCTGAGAGAACTGGGTCTGTTCAGCCTTGAGAAAAGAGGGCTAAAGGGAAACCTTATCACCATGTTCCAGTATTTAAAGGGTGGCTACAGAGAAGATGGAGACTCCCTTTTTACAAGGAGTCATGTGGAAAAGATGAGGGGTAATGGGTACAAGTTACTTCTGGGGAGATTCTAGCTGGACACAGGAGGATAATTTTTGTCAATGAGAACAGTGAGCCACTGGAATAATCTCCCCGAGGAAGTGGTGGATTCCCCAGCATTGGACACTTTGGAGATCCAGCTGGACAGGGGGCTGGGCCATCTTGTCTAGACTGTGCTTTAGCCAGGAAAGGGTGAAACAGATTATCTTTTAAGTCTCTTCCAACCTGTTATGCTATGATTCTGTGTAGTATGGAAGCATACCTAGTGCCTCCAAACAATAATGGGCTTTCAATCTGTAAGGCCAGGCTAAACATAGACTGAAGTAATCCTACTGAAACAGGTATAGCTGGGGAAGTTGGCCTTTTGGCACTGTCTGTCTCTCTTTTCTATTTATTCATATTTCAGTATTTCATTCAACATTCATCATTCATATTCCACATCACTATTTACTAATGTCTATATATAGCCAGTAAGCTAACTGTGATGAATCCTGGTAATTGGATGGAGTATCCTCCATCTCATTGCAGTTTCACATCAACTTTATCTGTACAGCTGAAATAAATACAGCTCTGGTGTGAAAAAGAAGATCTGAACCCTCCTCTTTACCAGGTCCTAAGGTAGAAATTACTGTAATTTAAGGCTGCAGATGGGAACGAGCCTGCCAGCCTTCCTTTCTTCCCATAAATCCATATCTGGGCTCCAGGATCTGCCTTTTATTGCACATTGTGCTCAGTAATCAACAGCATGCCCCAATACACTCAGTTTGAATATAGGGAACGAAATTCAGCAATAAATATTTAAAAATACTTCTCTTTGGAAAAGCTGGGCATTGAACAAACATTTTATAAAGCAGCTCAATGCAAATAAGCAACAGAGAAATACTTTATGGTGAATTAGAAATAGTAATTTAATGACTTTGAATAAAACCCCTTCTGACACATAAAGATGTTATCCTGTTTAAAAAAAAAAAAAAAAGAGATTCAAACTGATCTGCATATTGTATATTTTGGAATAAATGATGAAAGTAATCAAGATGACAACTGAGCAAATTTCAAAAATTCAGTTTTGTTTACTCAACATTAATGATCATCAGCAGGATATTTTAATGCAGTTCAAATGTCTTTACTTTTTCAGAGATAATTTTCAAACGAGACGTTTTGTTTATAATGGAGGTATTTAATAAGTGTAAAGGTGTGGTACAACATATTCAGTACTCAAATAGCTTTAGTCGACTAAATTCTATCAGCAGACACCTTTCCTTGTGGGTAGATAATTTTGTGAGCTTGAAGTGCAATGGCTTTGAAGGGATAAATTCCACTCAAGGTATAATGTAACTCATCGGGCTGTGAATAAGCCCAATCCTGCCATTCAGGATATTTTGGCAGTCTGGTATCCCGGAAGAGGACTGTGCAACCTGTATACTTTAAATGAAATAACTGGATATGCATAGACCAAGTCAATTTTGTAATGAGACTGTAAATGTTTTAGTACTGGTTTTTATGAACCTTCAGTTTAAATTGCTTATAAGTCCTCAGGCTTCACAGCTTTCTGGGTGTGGGATTTTTGTAAAATGAAATTGAAATTCTCAAGGCTAAAATTCTGGGATTCATACATTTTTCTTCCAGCTTTACCCTTGGAAGAAGGAATTCAACAACAGTATTACAAGAGTAGACTCATTCACCGAGAATTGCTTCTGGACCTATTTTCTTAAATTTTTAGATGTATTTAGGAATTGTTTGCAAATCTTGAGCTCTTTAAGTGCTTCACCCACAACTATGTACTTCTTACTTTCTTTAAATTGAAGTACTTCCAAAGTCCCTGGCTGTCTTGTGGTCCTCTGAGACTTAAGTAGAATCTAGTTTGTTGGTGAATCCTGAAATAGTTTTGCTTGATTTGGGGTCTGGTTATAAAAAATCTATGTCACTTACACATACCAATTAAGTAGAAAATGTGGATACATTGCATGGTGGTCATGGAAGAGCAACAAAACCAGAAGGAATTATAGAGTGGTTAAAAAGGAGGAGATGAAGACCTATGAGAGTGATAAAGCAATCCTCACATCTGAACAAGTTTGAATACAGCTGATTATAATTCAGCAGAAACCAGTACCTATTCTATAGGAGTAAAAGACGGCTAGGGAGAGATGTTTTACAGTTCTGCGGAGGGAATGCAAAAAGTAAAGTGTAGAAAGTGGAAAGAGGACACAACAGTAGAATATGATAGACATAGCTTCCCAAGTGAATTCCAGAGGCTTATTTCTTATGGAATATCATAAACTATGTAGACTGGACAGCACATTTTGCAATGGTGAGTAGTCTGCTTTGGTAGGTGAGATAAATTGGGTACCATGAATATATATATAAAGATTAATTTATAATGTGGCTAGTGCAGAGACATTTCACACCTGAGTCTGATAGGAATTTCACTCTTAAGAATGCATTGGTTTTGTTATTCATGAAGAATGCAATATATCTTCTACAAAATATCTATAGCAGCTGCTACTAGTCACAAAATGCATCTCTGATACTGCATGGTAATAGATGTGATCAATAGTTTGCATTAAAATAAATTTTAAAATGGGTTTTTTAGAAATTTTTACCAGTGATCTGCTTTATCTAAAGTTTAGAAATGAAATATATGTTCATT